TTTTCTCTAAGCCATACTTCTAGGGGAAAAAAAAGGAAAAGCTGCATGGGGAAAAGCAGAGAGGTTTGGGTGAATTTTTTCCCCTTCTACAATTTTCTGAAGCACATTGTCAAACCTTGTGAAGCTAGAAGGGCGTATTCAAATGCCATGAGGTGTACATTTTCATTTATTATCCACATGATTTTTCTTCTCAGTTAAAACTAAGAGCATGTCAATCCTTCCCTCTTGATTCAAAGGATCATTTTTTGTTTGTTTTTTGTTTTTTTACAAGTAGTACTTGAGTTGGGAAAAAATAAGCGGAATTAGTCCTCAGAATTTTGTCTGGAGATTTAGCCCTGCCACGGTAGCAGAAGCACGTCGCTGTAGGCTAGTTTTCTCTATGCTCATCTGCCCAGGCTCTTCCTCCCCCATCACTCCCTCCCCTTTCATCCTTGCCTGTTCATCATCTGTCCCCTGTATTTCTCCATGATTCCATTTACCAAAGTACTAGCTTGTTTGAACAAACGGGCTCAGGAGTGGAGGAAGCAGCGGTGTGGGGGTGGAAAGACACAGATAAATGGCAGAATGATCCCCACAATGTGGGGTATGGGCAGTGAACTAGGGAAAAACTGCTTTACTTTGCTCTCCTTGCCTGCCTCCTGCCTCCTTCAAACCTAAGCATAAGTCAAGGACTTCAGTGTCTTAGAGTAAGGACAGAGGAGGGAGACCAGTTGGTAAGCTATTGCCATAATCCTGATGGTAGAAGATGATGGTGGCTGGCACCAGGGTGGATGCAGTGAGTGTAGAAATAAGTGGTTGTGTTCTGCATGTGTTTTGAAGGCAAAGGCAGAATTTTCTGCAAAATTGGAGAAAAGATAGGAGAGAAAGAGCAGAGACAGACTGCAGCAGACGGGCTTGCTGTGAGCTGCTTTGGGGAAGCCTGAGCAGGTGGTTGAGAATGGGGAGCTGAGGAGTCCAGTTGGAAACACCCTGAGTTGGAGCTGTCAAGAGGAGAGCTTTTGTTTGTTTGTTTTAGTGTTCCCATCACCATGTATTTTTTGTTTTTACTTCAGCTGGATTCTTACAGATATTTGCAAATATAGAAGTACAATGGCCAGGCCGACTCCAAGCTGAGGCCTCTCCCAAAACAGGGCCTCCCTACAGCGGCTGCCCCAGTGTCAGAGAGCTTTTGTCTTTCATCTGAGTTCAGGAAAAAGGTCTAAGCTACACATGTGACTTTGAGGATCATTAGCACAACTGAGGTATTTAAACCACAAGATTAAATGAGACTATTTAGGAAGAACATGTAGATTTTAAAAAAAGAAGGAGTACCAAGGACTGGGCCCTGGAGCAAGCCAGTGCTAGAGGATGGGATACAGGAGGACCAGCGAGAAGCAACTGAAGTGGGATATGCACTCAAGAATACAGTCCTTGTGTCAATTATATTTTGTAGCAATTAGAGTATACGGATATGAATATTATTTCACTGTGTACTTCCAAAATATGACACCCAATAACAACATGCACACACGCATGTATGAGTATGAGTGTATATATTATAATTAAATATTAAAGAATTTAAATAAATATAAATTAAAATGTATATATTCACATATATACACTTTAATTGTTTTACCAATGGAAAACTATTATGAAACCAATTTCAATTTTTATGATCTATGATTTGCTATAGTATTTACAGCCTATGAAATATTTTTTTTTGTCCAAGCAGATACTTTGTTCTGCTGCTGGTTTTGTCGGATTGATGGTTAATTCAAGTATTTGGATTCAGTTTAAATTTCAGACCACTATAAAACAGAGTTTAGCTATTTTCTTTTTATCTCAATAATTAAATTATACTCATAACTTTTCATTTAAGAAGCTATAACGGTGAAAATATATGACATGTTTAAAGAGTAAGGCGCTGAATAGGTAGATGAAATTTATGTATACTTAAAATTATTTTGTGTTGGCGGTATTTTTTTCCATACCATACTATTTCATCCTGGATGCCAGCATTGGCTTTTACTGCAGAAAATGAATCTCTCAGCCTCACTAGATAAGGTGCTCATCGTTAAAGGGCCAAGTCAGGAGAACCGATGCCTGCTGCATAACTCCGCTCCGACAGAGACTGACTCAGGAGCAGGGGCAGAAGTTATGCTGATGCCCCACGATGGGGACTGAAGAATATATTGGGGGAGAGGAGAGGAAGCGGGGGGGGGAAGTATCCTGGGAGGGAATGGGTGATGGAAAAGTTAGGGGAGGCAACATTGGTAATGGGAAAGGAACAGAAGCATCTTGTGCTGAATATAAAAATGGAGTGCAAAAGTAGCTTTGTAAAGTGTTTATGAAAATTAGAACAAGTTAGGGATAGGAACGTGTAAGATGAGTGAGCTTTTATCAGAATCATTGTGTAGCAAGATCAAGGGGTCAGCGGGGATAATGGTGAAAACAGTGACAGCAGGTGTCTGAAGGTGCTCTACTCTCCGCCTGCGTCCGGATTTCCCTTTGTTACAAATGCTACAACCCACTGTGGCAGAATCTCCCGGTGTTGCCAGGGAATCTGCCTTTAAAAAAAATAAACACCCACACCCTGCCCTCATCTCCAAGTCAACCTCATGTCTGCTAAAATTTGAGCACAGCCGAACTAGGATAGAAGAAAAGAACATGTGAGAAATAACTTTTGAAAATGTATGTGTTAGATTCAAATGGAAAAGAGATGCTAAGGGAATTTGCAGAGTAAGAAATACATAGGAAAAAATGAGAATAGATTATGTTCAGGAATAAAGTAACAGTGAACTGCTGGGAAAGCAAGATATGAGTGAGGAAAGAAGGCAGTGGTCACAGGAGTCAGAAACAGTGCATGGGAGTGATTGTAGAAGAGGCCAGGGATGACATCCTCAAAAAGAGGGCAGTGAAGTAATGAGAAAAATGGAAGGCCACAGGCAGCCTTGGGAGGGCTAGCTTTCCAAGCAAGAGCTAAGGTGTGGGAGGCCTGTCAGTACCCATAAGATGATACCAGAGAGCAAATGACAATGACAGAAGAGCAGATCCGTGAAAAGGGATCACTGAGCAGCTACTACACAGTGCTTTCTGTAGGCTCTGTAGTAAGTCCCACTCCCTCCTGTCAGAGCGGCTGGGCATGGGACATCACCCCATCCTGGTGACCCATCAATACCTTTAGATAATCATTATCTTTACAAAAAGAATGCGGGGTGGTTTGATTTACTAAAGAGCGTGGTGGATTGAACTTTGTACCACATCTGAGCACAGATGATTTTTGTTAAAGGCACACTCCTGCCCAAGATTGGAAGAGCTAGAAAGAGACATAGATAACGGGCAGGGCATTGCTTTCTTTGTCTTCCTCACCATTGTTATTTGTCTAACGCCTTAATTTGCATTAAGATGTATATGATGAGTAGTCAAAGTATGTTTTATTTTTAAGCTTCTGCTTCTGAAATTTAAGTCACATACAAAATTGAGAGCAAATTCTCTTAAGTGTCACAGACTAGCAATGTGTTTTCTTCATAAACTCTACCCCTCGTTGACTTCTCACCCTGTCTTAGGAATTATCCAAGCAGCCGAGGACATTCCTTTTAATCATTATGCAAGAAAAAATTAAATAAATAGCATAACCGTCATTATATGCTTGCAAAAGAATATTTTCTCCTTGAAGAAACTGATACTTTCCCCTGAAAATCCTTAGTGTAAAGGGAAGGGGAGAATGTCTCCTGGATGTGAATTTTTCTTATTGGCTTCTAATGTTTCAAAATAAGAAATGGAATGCCGGGGAATTTAATGTTTTAGAGGGTAAGTATAGAGAAAATATTCAAGAAATGCTCAACATAGTTTGCGAAGTAATATGAAAATTGCTTTGACAGTGGGATGTAGAGCGATGTAAGGGAGCTTTGCACCAACCATAGCTTCTCTTTCTTCTCCTTTGCTGGCGTTTTGCTCTTTAATTCCTTTCCCTGCTGGGATGCCTCCTTCGTCTTTCCTAATGACACTGGCCCAAGATGCCCGCCCTCCATGGAATCCCTGCCCCCATAACATGCTTGACCAGTTCTTAGATGATGGTTATAGAAGTCAGCAATCAATTTTAGATTTTTTATAACTTAAACGAAAAACCACAAGGAGTCAGGCTGGGCATGGCTCAGCGGTTGAGCGTCGACCTAGGATCCAGGAGATCAGGGTTCGATTCCCAGTCAGGGCACATGCTGGGGTTGCGGGATTGATCCCCTGTTGGGGGCGTGCAGGAGGCAGCTGATCAATGACTCTCTCATCATTGATGTTTCCCTCTCTCTCTCCCTCTCCTTTCCTCTCTCTGAAATCAATAAAGATATATTTAGAAAAACAAACAAAAAACCCCACAAGGAATAAAAAAGTGATGATAAAATAGCATAATGGAATTTTTGCTGGGAATGTCTTTTTTCTATACAATAAAATTTAAAATAGCTGAGAAAATGATCTTTGCCCCAAGCATCATGGGGGAAGATAGAGGTTGTTGGATGCTTGCTCTGTGTTAAGCACTCTGTTGGGCACTTCCCATGAATGAGTACCATCCAACCCACCTCTTATAATTATAAATGATTATTTGGATAACTGAAACAGAGGCTGCTCAAGGCCACCCAGCTAGTAAGTGCCAGAGCCAGGATTTATATTCAGATTCCCCTGAATATAAGACTCTGTCTTTTCCCTCTATACGATTTGACCTCAAGTTCATTTTTTAATTAATATGAGCACTAATTGGTTTTGATTGTTAATACTTAACATGTGTAAACATAAGGAATATCCCTAGTGGTTGAGTAAGGATCAGATTTATTTTACCTAGTCTTAAAAAATATCTTGGTTATTTTACTTTAAAACCTCTCAGGACATTGTAAAATCTCTTAGAACAGTTCTTTTCTGCTCAGTAGGAAATAATGATATGTGAACTTGTGTTTATTACTTGCCACCTGATACTAAGTGCCGCAAATTCTTTCTGTTTTGTGTGTAACTTGCCTTTATCTTTGTTGTTGTAGTACTGGATACCAGTTTATTTACTATTCGCCTGAAAACACAGCCAAAGCAAAGGAAGTTCTCAGCAACATCAATCAACTACAACCTCTGATAGCAACCCATGCAGACCTACTGCTTAATTCTGCAAGCCAGCATTCTCCAGACAGCTTGAAGAATTCTTTAAAGATGCTTTCAGAAAAAGTAAGATCCAAATCATCCCTACCACAGGGAAAATGAAATACCCCAATTCACATTGGTGTTACTTTTTGCATACATTACCTTTCACAGCACCTGGAAATGTAAAATAGACTAAGTTAAAAAGTAAGCTTCAAACTATTGCCACAGGAACAAATTGAATTGGCCCCCTTCTCTTTGCAAATCTTACTGAGCACTAATTTTTTCCCTACTAGGAAATAAAACCTATTATTGGTTGATATATGTTTTTCTTTTCTTTGACATCCTTCATTTTCTTTGGTTCACGGTCTTGTCAAATGAATTAAATTAGATTTTGAAAATTATTTTCCTCTGGTGAGCACCTAATTTTTATGCATATGAAGCTATACATTTGAATATCAATGTCACTTCATTTGAAAGCAGGACTTTCATGTGAATTCTTATCAGTGGTATTGGAGTAATTTCTCTGCCTGCTTCACTTTCAACATTATTCCTTGGGAGATGGTTCTAAAATTTTCCAAAAATATTAGTCATTGTTTGAAATGTAGTAGGGCCTAAGCCTTAAATTTTCCAAAGGTGACTTGCACCTTATATGCAGAGAGGAGAGGTAACCTGGAAAAGGTGGATACTCAGCATCAACTTCCATAACTAATTAGGGCAACTGAATGACACAGACAGAGCCAAGATAGAAAAAGACAAATTGCAGCTTGATTTTAAATGTAAAACCAGGTGTCCTGGCACCCAATTCCAGTACACTCGTCCTTGACCTCTGCATTCTGAGGATGCCATGCAATTTATTATGAAATACTTTCAATAAATATACCCTGGAAGAAACTGACCAAAGAAAGTTCTCATGTTATTATTTTAGAATAAAATAGCAGTTTAGTTCTTCACATCCCTGAAGAACAGATTCATAGAAACCTGGATACTATATAAGTACATTTTTTTTATTCAGCTATGCTAATTTATAATAATACTGTGCACTTGTTTAACATTTTAAAGTGTGCATTATTATATATTTTCTCTTAGGATGCAACAAATATCTATTTTCATTAAAAATTAACTAATACCTATTCAGACAGTTAAGTGAATTGTCTAATAAATTAAAAAGTAAAAGAAAATCAAAGCCCAAGGCTTCCAGTTCAAAATGCAACATTCTTTATATGTCAGATCAGGTGCCTCCAGCATGACAAAGGAGGGAAAAACTGACCCAAATTTTACAAGTCCTGACTTTGTCAAGTATTGTGCTAGCTGCTTCGTGACTGATGTTATTGTATTTAAACCTGAAGTGGTGGGTATGTACTGATTGTCTAGCTCACTTCTAGAGGCATTTTTCCAGGCTGTAGCACAAGAAGGGAGAAACCAAGGAGGGAGGAAACTCTGGCATCCTCTATGGAATATCTGTGTTTTGACATTTACATTTTTAAAATTAAAAAGAAAATTTTAGACAAGCTCTTCAGTAATGCTTAAGTATTCTGATAATCAATAAGTATGCCTAATAGTCCATAAATATGTTATAGCCAGGAAAAAGGGGTTGAGGGGAGAAGAGAGTGTTATATACAGTAAAATAATATAATTTCACTTCAGTTCAAAGAGGAAAGTGTTATAAATAGTAAAAGAATGTAATTTCATTTTGGTTCAATTCTTTTTGGAATTTCTAGATGGAGGTGAGGGTTTCTGGATTCACCTAAGCAGAAATGTTAGTAAGTGGCACGTCGCTGCAGCGATCACAGAGCAGGATTTATATTCTTCCTGTGCACTGGGCAGGGACTTGTCATTTCGCAGGTCATTTACAACTCGCTGCAGTGATTTGGGTGGGGGGACAGGGCACATATTTTCTCATCCTTTAATTCAGCATTGCTCCAACTTTTCCCCCTATATTTTTTCTACTGAGTAGACATGCTTTGTCAACTAATAAATCTGTCAGCCCTTGAAACCAGGAGGATCTTTTTAAGTTTGCAAGCCATGCATTTTCTTTTTAAGAATGTGCGGCTGGAATTTCAAAGAATTATCCAAGCTAACAGTTTTGCATAGTTTATGAAGACAATTAGTAGCTTATGGTTTAAAATAAAGTATGATTCATTTCTACCTAGCCATGCTGCTGGTGCTTCAGATTCTATGTCCCAAGACCGGTCTTCTATTTTTTTTTTTTTTTTTGATTAATTAATTAATTTTGCTAGCAATGGCCTAATGAACACTTTTGCAGGCTTGAGCGAAAAGGTGGGCTTTTGGAAAAAGGCAGGCCGCGGAAATTTCCATTGCAGGGTCAGGTGACTTCTTCCAGCTGTGCCTGCGCTGTGGGCACAAGGTGGCAGACTACTTATTTCCACCGCTCTAGGAAGGTCCTATAGCCATCAAACCTTGACCAGCCGCCCCGTGGGTCAGTCGTTTCAACATCAGCAAGGGAGCAGGCAGTTGGAAGGGAGATAAAATCAGCCGCCTCTGTGTTTTTGTGTAGGGAATGGAGAGAGGTGGTGACATTCCTGCACTCAGCTTCCCTGGGGTTCCTTCTGGCCACCTGGTCTTAACTTGGCTTCCTGGACACCCAGTATTTGTAGATCCCGGGCCCAGGTCTCTGTGCTGTCTCATTATGATGTAGGATCATAACAAAAGACAAACTGAGCTTATACGAATAATTCCAGTAGACAAAGCATAGGTCAAATTTTTTACATAAGATATGAGCGGAATAAAATGCACTTTTTAAAATAATAGAGTGGAATAAAAATGCACTTTTCTTTTCCTTAGATGAAAAGTATGCAATGCTATGGACAAAAAGAGCAAGAGAGAGAAAAATATATATAAATATAAAAATATATATATATAAAAAATTCAGACTGAAAAAATAAGGGCCCAAATGTAGGCAATGTACAGCTGAGTCTCATAGCTCAGACGTCTGTGTGACATTAGTTTCCAATGCCCATTGCATTCTCTCTTCCACAGGCATTAACAACCTTGTTTAAATGGTCATTATTATCATGCTAATAAAAAGCAATGCCAAGCACCTAATTATGTGGGGTATGACAGTCAATACTATGGAACAAATGCTATATAGACCCGGTCCTGAGCTTTTACAATGTAAGAATTTAAAAGAATGGAATGTTTCACAATGTTATATTTGTGAAATGGCAAACAACAGCAAAAAAGATTTTGTCACAAATATTTTCTCACAGCATATTTGAGAAAAATCTCACATGATTCAAATCCTGTATCTTTTCAACTTTAGCAGAGTATATCAAAACAATCTATTGTATTCAATGAAGGAAAAGAGCATTTTCTTCCAAAAGTTAACTCAGGGTTTTTAAAAGAAATGTTCTGTTGCCCTTAATAATGAGCCAGGAAGTCACTATGCTAAGAAGCTGAAAATACACATAATATACAGATTACTTATGTTGATAGCTGAGAAGGAATTCCTCAGTAATGTTGGTACTGAGAAGGAATTTCTTATTGTTTATTTACTTTAATCACTCCTAGGTCTAACTCAGCCCCACACTGAACAGAACTTAATGAATAGAGGAATTTGTTTATTTTTTATAGTTGGTGAAAGTGTGTGTGTGTGTGTGTGTGTGTGTAATCTAAGGGAAATTGAAAATAACTGAAATAAATGAAAAAATGAAACTTCAGAATTGAACTTTTATGTCTTTTTTCCCCATACTTTCCCTTATATGGTGAAGACATAATTGATGAAATAAGTAATATTATATAAAAACCAAACTTGTGTTCATTAGAATATTAAATAGCAAGGAAAATAAAGACAAGAAAGTAAAATAAGGTTAAGAATGAGATCTGTACATAAATACATGGAAGTAGAACTTCTGTTTTGGCTCTGGTGGAGTAACATAGATTCTCCACCTTAAACAATAGGAAAAGTGGACAAAATGTATAAAATAATGGTTTTTAGGCATTGGAAAAGAGGCAGAACAGGAAGATAACAAACTATATGATTCTTATATTTATCTAGCTTACCTCCAGAGGCAGTTTCCACCCTATAACAGGAGGATGAAGCCGCAGAGTAATTTCTCAAATTGAGGAAACAGAGATTAGAGTTTGGGAAAGCCAAGGTGGTTAGAATTCACAGGAAAGAGTACTAGAAAGGAGGGAACTGCACACAGAAAGAGCCCTGATGATCTGTAAATGAGTGCTTTTAAATCTTTACCTGAGTACATACTAGAGTAAGCATAGACATATAGGTCAATGAAATAGAATCTAGAAGATTCAAGAATCTAGAGATTCTAGGGAACCTAGGAATAGACCCACACATATATGTTTAAGTAACTTCAGACAAAGTACAAAGGAAATTTATTGGGGAAAAGTTATCTTTTTAACATATAATGGAGGAACAATTGGATATCCATAAACAAAATAAATGAACTTTTCTTTATCTTTACCTGATATATATAAAGTTTAATTAAAGATGGATCTTAGACCTTAAAATATAAACTAAAAGAAAAACAAACTTCTAAAAGACAAGATTGGAGAAAATTTTTGTCAGCTTGGGTAGGCAAAGATTTCTTAGATAGGACACACAAAGCATGACCCCCCAAATGAAAATAAATGATATGTAAGACTTCATCAAAATTTAAAACTTTTATTAATATTGTTAGAAGACACTATTCAGAAGACACTGTTAAGAAAACAAAAAAGAAAGTCATGGACTGGGAGAAAATATTTATAAAATGTGTATCTGCAAAGGACTTTTATAAGAACATATAAAGTATTCCTATAACTTAAGGATAAGCCGAACAACTCAATTAAAAATGGGCAAACTAATTGAAAAGACGTTTCACCAAAGAAGATGGATGGATGTCACATAAGCACAAATTTGCATTAGGGAAATGAAAATTTAAACTAAAATGAGATGCCATTAACCACCCACAAGAATAGTTTAAATTGAAAAGGCTGAGCATCGAAGAGTTGAGGAGGAGATGGAACAAACTGAAACTTTCACATATCCCTAATGTGTACACAGTTATTCACATACTTTGGAAAATAGTTCAACAGTGTCTCAGAAAGTTAAAAAAACACAAAACACTCCATATGATCTAGTCATCTCACTCCTGGTTACCTGAGATAAAGGCTATTTTTTAGGTACTGAGAAGGTTGTTGAGCGAGTAAGTCTGGAGGAAGGCTTTGCGAAGCTCATCCCCAGTAGCAATAACTAGGCTGAGCTAGGACAGAGGATTGGAATTACTGAGCAAAACAGAACCTCAGTAGTGCTTCTTCAGGAGCTTGCTAAAATACAAATTCTGATTCATCAGTTCTGAGCTGGGACTCAGAAGTCTGCATTTTAATATTGGTGGCCTTGGATAGCATCTTGAAAAAAGAAAAGTTAAAGTAAGTCAACTCATAAGGAAACTATGAAAAGTATCCACATGGGATGTAGAAAGGATCTTAACTGGGATTAGCTCTGGGAATATAAAATAAGGGTCGAGCTTTGAAATAATTGAAAAGGCATAACTAATAAAAATTGATGAGTAATCCAGAAGTAAATATTACTGAAGATGATCCACATATTTGTACTCTGAGTTGCTGAATAGTAATGATATTACTCAGATGGAAAAATGGAGTACACATTTAAAAAAAAGAACACAAAAAAACCCCTTGAGATCAGACTAAGATTTCTAAACTCAAAAGACTTTGAAGTGGAAACAGTTGGCAGAGCTGGTTCAGGAGGTGAGTAGAAATGGGTTTTAAAGACCTTAGCATATGGATTATAGTTGAAGTTATGGAAGGAGTTACATCACCAAGGGGAAAAAAAATGCTTTCAAGAAAGTAGTTTAAGGTTCCTTAGGGTCCTCTGAGCGAGCAGGAGATTATAAGTCAACAAAGCAAACTGAAAAGGTCAGTCAAGAAAAAGAAGCGTAAATAGAAAAGTGCACTTTACAGTTTACAATGAACTCCCATAAGGGTTTCACGGGCAGGTATTGTAAATTTGTACAAACTAGGGAAAAGTGGTTGTTTATGTGATTTATCCAAGGTCAAGCAACTAATTTATATTGGCTGCCCAGATGTCAGGTAACACTCTTGGCTAAAAGTTCAATGTTCTTTTCTTTAAGAAGTGTTATGTGATATGTGTAAACACAATCAATGCACTGATGTCAGAATATAGAACTATTGCCCTGTGAAAGAATGCATATCAAATTTAAAAATAAACAGGATTATTTCTTGCCATGTACATGGCAATGGCAATCACTTGTTTATGCCACTGGCTAATTCCATATTGCACATGGGATTAGACATAGCTTTGAATTTTTTTGGTGACAATAAGGTCATTCTAAATAGAATAGGACTTTGATTAATTTGTTGAGATCTCTAGTTAAAAAGAATAATTTTAAATGAACGTATTCTAACTATTTCTCTGCCACTTATATTCAGAAAACTAGGAAATTCTCAGGACAAGTAATTTTTAGTAGTTTTATATTTGCAGATAATTCTGTAAGTTATTTTGAAGAACATACATATATGTGTATATATACATACATATATATGTATATATATGAGAATATGAATTGGAGAAATGCCAGTAAGGCAAAGAAACATTTCATTTTTCAGATAACATTTCTCTCTTTTTTAATATCAAACAAATAGGCTTGCTTTGCTTAAGTTTATGCTTTTTTAGTATATTATTGAACTGTTATTTTAAATGACTTGTTTTGCTTACCCTTACGATAACATTTAGACAACCTTCCTTTTTCTTTTACTTAATGTAATGTGAGCTGAGTCAGAAAAGAAAAAAGATTTTCAGAACTCCAAGGCAACAGGCAACTCAGAGATGTGGTTACATACTGGCCATGACTTTTAGCTTCCCTAGCATCCTCTCAGTTGCAAGAACAAAAAAACACAGGTGTGTTGGAATTGTGTAGCTCTATTACTCTTTACAAGCCAATTTATTTGACTGCAAAACATCAGGGTCTACATTGGTCTATACTAAGTAATGCTGCTCAAGAAAATTAAAATTTTTTTCCAGGTCATGTGGATAGAATATTTCCTATTTTCTAATAGAATGCAACCCTATATGCAAGATGTTGGTGATCTAGAGAGTGTCCCAGAAGCCAGATAAGTTTGTTTTGTTTTAAAATATGTTTTTATTTATTTCAGAGAGAGGAAGGGAGAGAGAAACATCAGTGATGACAGTCATTGATCAGCTGCCTCCTGCAAGCCCTGTACTGGGGACTGAGCCTGCAACATGGGCATGTGCCCTGACCCAGAATCGAACCGTGATCTCCTGGTTCATGGGTTGATGCTCAACAACTGAGCCATGCAGGCCGGGCAAGTTTTTCAGTATTAACACAAAGTAAAAGATCAGCTATTATTGTGTTTGCTTAAGATTTTGTGTATATTATATTATATTACAACCCCAAAATTCTCAGTTATAAAACTGTAAGAATCTACTGTATTATCTCCCACATCTTGGTGATAAATCAACCCAAATGAGATTTGAATAAATGAAGTGGAATCTCTGTGTGTGCATACTATAGGAAGAAAATGACTGCAATTATAAGAACCATGCAAGATTTCATTGAGTGTGAATAGATATTTAGCTACATGGTAATTATGTGTGTGTTATGGAGACTAGAGCTGTAGTAGCAGGAATTCAAAGAAGGCAAGCTGTTTTGCTCTAAAAATAAATCAAAAGGTTTTATTGAAATTATCAACAGAAAAATAGTTTAGTTAAGCTGAATGGAAGCAAATTCACATTTTTAATATTTACACTAACATTGATAGACACATCTATGCTATATGGAAAATTATGTAAACAGCATGTTTCCCCACTTTGCTATAACTATACTGACTTGTTTGAATACTGTCAAGCCATTTATTTCAAGTGTTTATTTTCTTTTAAATAAAAAGGTGCTTTTTTATTTTGATTTTCAGGTTTATTATCAAATTATTTTCCAACCTTTTATTCTTATATAATCTTTTTTCCATATTTCTTGTCTACTGACCTTTAAAGTGCCTTCAGTATGACTAATAGATTAAAAGAGTGTTTAAAACATCCAATAACATTTGGCAGTGAAGATAGTTATGCAGACAATTGTGGACACAATTCTGAGAGCTGGTAGCTGCTCAAAAGACTTGGGGATTTTGGGGTTGGGAAGGGGAAGGACAGAAACCTCTAGGTTGATGGTGGCTGGTGGGTGGGGTAGAGTAAGGGGAAAAATCTACTGAATTTGTTGGGAAACTTGGGATCTGTTCCATTTGTGCTGCCTTGTACAGGTCACCACACCTGTTTCTTAGTTTCCTTATGTGGTTAATGAAGAGGTCCACCGTAAAGTCCCTTTCAGTTCTAGAATTTCATGATCTATTGCAAAGAAGAGCCATGCAGATATGACATCATCTTATTAGGCCCTTGTTTTCCACAAGGTTTAACTGATTTTCTTTAATTGCATGGACCCAACAGGGAGACCTGGAGATGATTTAGTTACCACCAGTTAGGCATGGCAGTGCTGACTGCACATTGAGAGCACACCAATAAATGGTTACCTAGAGTTACAGCTATGGTGAAGTCAGCATTGTATCCAAGAGTCTCATTAAATGGTGTTTATATCAATTATTATTGAATATAATGCTATGAGTTAAAGGACCCCTTCTTGAGATTGCAAAGTATAAATATAATATCAATATGGGTCAATGCTTGAGCTACTTCTCTACTCTTTGAACAGATTGTGAGACCATGTGCACATTACGTGTACTATGACACAGAAAATCAATTACTGCCCCCTCCAGCATATTATGGGGTGAAGCTATTAAACATTTCATCAGGAAATTGAAAAGTGCAGCTGTGAAGTTGGGAAGCTGTCGGTACTCCACTACTGACTAGGTACTTACCACCAGCTTGTAAAATCCACCATGGCAGGTTTTACAGTAACCTCGTTAACATCGAGCGTTACTGAAACCATTTGGTGGAGGAGACAGTTAGGGGGCAATAATAGGGTTATAATAAAAGCCAAATGTTTTCATGAGGAAGACTGCCTATGTCATCTCTACTGTTGAAATCTATCCATGATGCTAAAAAGATAAAAAGTCTCCTGTCTCCAGTTTTTTAAAAAGCATGTCTTTCTTTAGCCTTTAAGTCTGTTTAAAATATAGACTATCCATAGTCTGATGACATTTTCTTTTAAGGTCTATTTGGAATTACTTGAAAGGTAGATGGTATTCTAATGATTATTCCCAGTGAAATTCATCTCCAAAGATAGGATGTGGAACTAAAATCAAGGGGGCTGAGGAGACAGATGGTGTTTATAGAGCACATGGAACCTCAGCGTTGACTTTTAGAGCTGGAGGACTCAAGGCCTTGGCAACATCCCCAAAACAAACTATGTTCCATTGATTGGTATGAATCATTCAAGTGCCAACAAATCTGCAGTTGACCTTTTCATAGCTCTACGCTGAGATGCCTACCATGGTGTTTCTAATCCTTGTACATTTCTTTCCAGACAGAGCTTTTTGTTCATGCCTTTAAGGATCAGCTGGTCAGAAGCGCTCTGTTAGCACTTTACACTGCCAGGCCAGGAGGTGTCCTTAAAAAGCCACCCTCCCCTAAGAACAGCACGGAGGAGAGCTGTCCCCAGGATCCACCCCCACCGATGAGAAGACAGGACTCCATCCCCCATCATTCAGACTACGATGAGGAAGAGTGGGTAAGTCTCTTGCACATCGCTTGCCACCCAGTGTTCAGTCCTGAGAAATAAAGTCAGAATGATAAGAAATCTCTGCTTTTCATCCAAGCCAGGGAGAAAGCAGTCACAGGTACAGACTGGGGATAAGTAAGTCACATTTTTCCTTAGGGGCAAATTATACGTGGAAGTTTTATTCCTAATCACATTTCTGTGACATAAAAATTTATTTGCTGTCAAGCAAATCATATAATCATAACCAAGGATATGTCATCAAAGCAAAGATGTCACCATTGCCAGATTCTATAATACTTTTTCTTACTTATTGCCGAGGTAATAAAAACATTAAAATTCTTTTTTAGAAGACGAGTCAGAAATTACCTATAATGCACTACTTGGATGCAACAAGGATGTTTACTGTTGCAATTCAGTGTTTTAGCTCTGGGCATAGGTTAGAAAGTATTGATGTTTAAGTGGCAGTGGACATAAAGATCCCTTAAATCCCTCTTGTTCATGATTCTATGATTAAGAAGACGTTACTCCAGGTGCTCTAAAATTAGCAGAAGTTTGGGCGCATAAAAGCATCTGAAAAAAGTACAGCCAGGTGCCCTGGCCAGTATGGCTCAGTTGAGTGTCATCCCAAGCACGGAGAGGTTGCTGGTTCAGTTCCTGGGCAGGGTGCATACCCTGGTTTCGGGCTCGATCCCCAGTAGGGGCCTGCGGGAAGCAGCTGATTGATATCTCTCTTTCATGGATGTTTTTCTCTCTCTCCCCCTCTCCCTTCCTTTCTCTCTAAAAAATCAGTAAAAACATATATTTTTTAAAAAGGTAAAGCCAAGTAAACAAAGAAGCCAGCATGGATGGGAACTCTAGTTGGGCAGAATAAGACAGGAGAAACATAAAGGTGCTGGGTGAGGGGGAGCAGTGTGTTATTCCTGAATCAATACCTATTAACTATCCAACATCCCTCCAAATTATATGCACACACAGAAGGAAACTCCTTACTGTATCATTTGCTTAACCAAGAAAAGAACATCCTAGCTGTATTAGATGTTAAACAGTTAACACTTTTCCTGCCACCCTAAATTTAAAAGTGCTCAGGGAGTAAATTATTTGAAAGGTCCAGATCTCTCAAAAAATTGCTGTCTGAAGGACTGTGAAGTGATGGCTGCTCTTTCTTCTGATAAAATTTCTATCACAGGAAAAACAGAGCTGGGTCCAAAAGGTAAGTGCTGAATAAGTATTTGTTGTTGCTGATTAAGAGTGCATTTCTCCCACGGAAGCATTTTCAAAAGAGCAAATCTAATATTTCTGCCTTTTACCTCACCTTTTTCTTCAATTTATTCAGAGCTCCAAGGCGTTCGCACCTCTTAACCTCTCTGAAGTTCCATTTTCTCAACTGTAAAGTGAGAATAACAGCACCTGTTTGGCTTAGGGTGGGCATGAGATAAATGATTTACCTGTGTGATATGGCTCCATCACCTGGGAAGGCCTAGGCCAAGGCATTGGATGACTTTAGTATTATTGTCCTATGTTTTCTTTTTTAGGATATATAAATTAAATCACCTTATTACGAGTATCAGTACTATCCCTTGAGATAAATGGGAAAACAGGATCTACCATAAAATGCATATTATAAATTTTAAGAGTTTGGGTACATATAGAAAAGAATTTGTATTTCATTTAATTAAATTTAGTGTTAACCTTTTCACAAATAATTACCATTTTATATAAAATCAAGTGAGAATTTCAGAATTTGGGGTATCTTTTGTTTTTATAATTTTCTTCTCACTGTGTAATGCTAATCCTCCCTTATACCTCACCTTCCTCCTGCTACACAAAATGTCCCTCTTCTGCCCTCCCTCCTTATTGCCTTTTCTTTAGATAATTTTGGGGACTTTGTAAATTGTAAGTGTTCTAAATGGGAAGGTAAGCACTAGGCCCTTAGGTCCTCGAGCTCAGAGTTCTAGTGGTAAATAAAAACACGTTAACAAATAGTGGCAAAATATGAGAAAAGTTGGAGAGAGACAGATGGTAAAGGGGCTCCATTAATGTGACTTCGACTCAACATTTGATACGCAGGACCTTCTTATGACCTGCAAGGATGGAAGGGAGTGGGAAAAGTACGGTGGAGGGAGGGGCTTTCCAGTGAGCACTCAGTTCAGTGGGCTCACTGAGCAGCTGTTCTGCCTGGTTCATTCCTTCTGAGGGCTGTGAAAAAAGGAGCTCCTCCGGGCCTTCTCCTTGGCTCATAGGTGGTCATCTTCAGGGTCTCATAACCTTCTCCTGTGGTGCCACTCTGTCTCCAAATTCCCCTTTTCATAAGGACACAGAGGTGAACCACTCAGGCTTCGAGGATTCCATGGGGCTCTAGAAAGATAAGTGGCAACTGCAGTGCAGTGTAGGCTTGTACGCGGGATAAGGCGGTAGTCTGGCGGTCATGGTGGGATTTCTAGAAGTGACTCTTAAGATTTAAATGTGCATAGATGTTTACCATTCAAGAAAGAGTATGAGAGAGAGGGAGAGAGGGAGAGAGAGGTTATTATTAGCTGCTTACTTGTTTTGTTTTAAAGGTGGTGAACATTGAGCCTGTTTATACTCCAAAAGCCATTTGCGAGCCAGAGAGGCGGTGACTGAACAGAGCGAGGGCCTTAGCAAGGAGAGAGGAGGGTCAGCGCACTGCACAGGGCGGGCAGGTTCCAGGCAGAAGCCGTCTTTCCGCTGTGTCCTCAGGGAGGAAACAAGAGAGACTTGACTTTTATGAGGGTGGGT